GGCCACTTGGGGTCCTGACCCCAACATCTTTAGGAGAACAATGTTCCAGATTTCAGGGAGATTCACCAGTCTGTCAGGAGATTTTGTTTTCTCATTCTGTTTGTGCTTTCTCAGGCTAACTTGGCAAAGTGAACGTGCCTTTGTACAATCTGTGTTTTGAAAGGGTACAATAATGACTGAATAATATTTTAATGAAATATCAGTTATACACGCATACTTCCCTATGACTATGCTCTACCTCCCAGCTGAACGGTGTCTTAGAGTTCCTATTGATGCTTCAGAGTTGACAGGCTGCCATCCCTATCGGACAGTGATACCCAATATATATAGTTCATATGTTAACAGACATGGACAAACCCACATCCCTTTATGTACACAACACGATAACAGGTTTTTGTTTTACAACAAAAGCATCCTGAGAAAGGATTCTTATTATTTTTGGAGGGATTATGTAGGATTGTCTATAAATGCATTGTATGCTCAGCCAAAGCGGTTACCTCTCATTGAACACTGGAATCAATGCTTACATTTGCACATACTGATGGTCTCTTTATTTTTCATGCAGAATTTGAATAGTGGACTTCTTATCTTTCTGTTGTTCCTTAAATTGATCAATGGGCCACTTACTAAATGGAATCCAGAGGATTGTCACGGTGTGATTGAGAATGCGAACGAGGAATTAACTGAGGCTACAGTTGACAGTTTTCAAAACTCTGCAAACATTGCCTGGGGACTGAGGGCAGAAAATGAAACCACTAGATTAAAAAAAAAAGTGCGACATGGGCTGATGAGTTTATCGAATAACTTTATGGTTTTTAGTTTACATCTGCAGTGAAAATGACCATCTATGGGATGTCAATGTGCATTCTACTCATGTTTACATTGAATAATTTAATAATTATGTATCTACTGAATTGGTTTGAATGTTTCTAAGTTCTGTGCCCAAAGTGACATTGTGGATAACAGTATGAGCTCTGTGAGTATAACTTGCCTTTTCCCAAAATATTCTTTAACTCTAAAATTTGTAAAATGACATCACCTAACAGCTCAAATTTGATATTACATGAAGTGAAATATGTAGCACTTGCTTACAACACTGAACATTTTGTACCTCACCACACATGCCTTTTAAAGTTCCATTTAAAACGTACATTTGCATTTCGGAACAGACATTTTCTGCTTATAGCCCTGAGGTTTCACAGGGTTTGCAGTCCCTCAATATGTGGTGATTTTTCCCCATTGAACAAGCAGTAGTTCATCCTTCAACCCATAGTCCTGGACCTTAAAGTACACCAGTCTCTGTAGATTTACATTCTAAGATTCAGCGTAGATTTTTAAGGTTTGTATGGATAGAAAAATTATGCATCTGCACCTGGGCTTTGTTGGATTACTTCAAGTTGGCTGTAGTAATCTGTACTCGGATTGAATGTGCAGTCAGGCTGGGAATAAGACAAAAAGCACTTGAACATGCAGAAAGACTTCACATCAAGCCTTTTCCTTGGCAATTAAAGACATTCTTAAAGTGTGGTCACACTTAATTTATTGTGAAATTTGGGAGCTCAGTTGCACTTTGCAGATCCCTAACAAAATAGAACTAGTGTCCAGTCAGTCTGCTTTTGATGATGTTGATTTAGAAAAAAATGTTGACTGTTTTTCAAATTCCAGTTTATCAGGCAGATCAGCTTTGGCTTCGTAACTCGTCAAAAGGATTGTATATTTAACAATCTAGTGTCTGTTAACTTGAAATATTTCCTGAACACTTCAAAACGTATCCCCAAGTGTTCTGATTCAGAGTCAAGTGTAACACAGAAATACATACCCAAATTAATATTATGCTTGGAATATGTAATGTGAAATCAGTACAAGTATTCCAGGTCTATGGATGCACTTTAATTTTGAGTACATGTATTTGGGTTCAGAACATATGCCCTTACTGGTTGAAAATAAAAATTTGGATATGGCGGATATGCACGCTTGGGTGCAATTGCTTGTGCTCACTGGGGCATGAGATACATAATCTTGTGTTCAGTATGAGATTGACTGTGTATTTATGTACAGGTTAGATATATGTACTTTCACAGATTGTGAGATTGGGTATACATATTCAAATGAGATTGGACACATGTACCTTACTGAAATAGATATATATTGGGTATTAGTTATTGGCTGGTATTTGAAATATGTATCTGGGTGAGGTTGTCATCGGCTGAGATTGGTACATGTATTAAGTAATCATGAATCAATGTGTTGGATGAGCTCGGGTGTGTATTGGATAAAGTTAGGTATGTGTATCTATGAGGTATATTGGTTGAGGCTGAGTCCATGTATCTGTGTGATGTTGAGTATATGTATCTTACTGGGGAGTGATTAAATTCATCTGGCTAAGATTGGAAAAATATATTGAGCGATGTTATATATATGTATATGTTGCCTGAGGTTGAGATCTGTGTGAGGTCAGCTATATGTAATCATTGAGATCGTGCATAGATTTTGGCTGTAGTTGGATATGTGTATTTGCAGAGGTTGGATATATGTAATTGTCTGAGGTAGGGTAGAGACTTCTCTGTGAGATTAGGCACACATATTGGTTGAGGTAACACAGTGTGGATCTGGAGGAACACAGCAGTCCACGCAGCATCAGAGGAGCAGGAAAGTTGACTATCTCCGTATTAGTTGAGGGTGAGTTTATCATTCGTTGAGGTTGGGAAAATGAATGTGTCTGAGGTTGTGTATATGTATTGACTGAGGGTGAGTACATGAGTGAGTGTGAGTTTGAGTGAATATAATGCTCCTATACCGCGATAGTTGCATTCATACACTATAGAAAGTTGTACGATAGAAAATCACGTTATAGGGAAATCACTATAGAACATCACTATACCTGTACAGCAGAAAGTTTGCATTATTCAAACAGCATCCACTATTCATCAATCACATTACAGCCAACTTGTGTCAACGAAACACACGTTAGAGCAGAACTCCCTGTATGCTGAAAATGATTATACATATTTGAGTGTATATATTGGCTGAGTGAGTATACGTATGTGTGTGAAGTTGGCTATATGTATTGACTGATGGTGAGTATGCATATATGTGAGAGACTGGATATCTATATTGATGGATTTCAGTATATGTGTATGAGATTGGGTATATGTTTTGATTGAGTGTGAGCAGATTTAATTGCTATGGCAGGTATATGATTGTGTCTGAGACTGGGTAAGGGTGGCTGAGGGTGAACATATGAAATGAAAACAGAAATTGCTGGAGAAATGTAGCTGGTGTGGCAGAGTATGTGGAGAGAGAAACATAGTTAAAGTTTCAAGTCCAGTGATCTTCTGTCAAATCACTGGACTTAATATGTTAACTCCATTTTCTTTCCACAGGTGCTGCCAGACCTGCTGAGTTTCTCCAGCGATTTCTGTTATTGTTTCAGATCTTCAATAACTGATGTTCTTTATTTCAGTTTGGTGAAATATGTCAGTGACTAAGAGTGAGCATATGAATGTGAGTGAGGTTGGGTCTACATATTGGCTGCGGTGAGTATGTACATGTGAGTGAGGGTGAGTATATAAATGAGTATGGTGGAATTATGTGAATGTGAGTGAAAGTGAGCATATGAATGTGTGAGGGGAATCCATGAAGTGAGGAGGAATATATGAAATGAGGAGTGTAGATGGAATGGGGACAATATATGAATATGTATGAGGGGAATACATGGAGTGTGGGGGAATATATAAATGTGTCAGAGGGTTTATTACAGGAGGGGGCATATATGAATGTCTGTGAGTGGAGTATATGCTGTGAGGAGTGTATATGTAGTGAGGGGGGAATTTGATTGCATGTGGGAGTAAAGTATATGAATGTGTGTGAGAGGAGTATATGCAGTTGGGAATGTATATGCAGTGAGAGGTGTATGATGTGAAGGGTGTTTATTGATTGAGGGGCATATATGAATGTGTGTAAGGGGAGTAGATGCAGTGAGGGGAGTATAGTCAGTGAGGGGTGTATATGCAGTGATTGTGTATACAAATGTGTATGAGGGGAGTATATGCAGTGAGGGGAATATATGCAGTGAGGGGTATA